AGGAACTGCTCACATTTCTAGGATCCATCACCACACTGGGAACACAGTGTTCTGAACTCAAATCCCACTTCACGTTCAATTTAACACAGTGACAAAAATAAATATCAGCCTATATCAAACTCTTTATTCAATGAAATCACAAAAGATCACCGGACTGCCACAACTTCTGCAAAGACATTACCATAGTTGAAAATATTTTCAGGTCAGTGGTGTTCAAATAGGTAATCACAATTTAGAGCCACTGAGCAAGGCTCCTTTGGCATTTCTGACAAGATAAAAACTCCCTGACTGTATGATGGTTCTGATCCTTTCAGAGCAGCTTTAATTTGATGGAAATACAGAAATTTATCAAGAACACCCAGAATGTTTCTGCTTTTGCAAGGAACACTTGCAACAGAGTTCCCAGTCTAAAGCAGATGGCCCTCTAAGATGCCACTCTGATAGATGCCAGCTCAAACATGAAAACTTAATTCAATAATCCAAGTGTCAGATCTGAAAGGGTCCCAAACAAACTGTGATGCTTTGCAGTTCAGGTGGAAACGCTGGAAAAATTTCATTGCTTCATCCAGAAATCATAAAATACTAGCATTTTGGAAACTGTAGCTCTTTAAGAATGCAAAAGGGAAAGTTTTCTAAATTTAAAAAAAAAAACTTTAAAATAGTGCAGGTGTATGTTCGTGCATTTTATTTCTCATTGGATGCCTTTAAAACAAACACACATCCTTCAAATGATGACATTCTCTTCTGCCACAATACAAGGCATGTTTACTTTACATGTTTCCCAACCAAAAATAAAACATTGCCCTTGCATACTCAGGTAATAACATAGAAGCATGCAGGAAGTAATTTTTTTTCTCATTTTAAACACTGTTGGTATTAGGAGAGGAAGAAAAATTTTCGTTGTTTTGTTACAAAAGGACAACAGAACCAATGTGAATTCATTCAGGTTGTTAAACTCTACTTCAATTTTAAATTCATTAGAAGTATTCAAGGAGAGGTTTGGAAGGAGAGATTTGTTAAGAAGGGCATGTGTGTGTTCTTCATCTTAGCTAAAGATGTAATGCAGCTTGGAATATAACACAACTTAAAATTTTCTGCTGCATTCTGAGAAAAAGGAGAATTCACAGCGTGTCTCACCTGTCCAAACACTGCTGACAACTAAATACTTGTTTTTGAAGCGGATCTCATACATCGTCAGGCTGGGAAATAATACAAATAGACTTGGTGAATTGATCTGAAGAAGGAATGTGACTTAACCTAACTAAACACCATCTGATGCACAATAAATACAGAAGCTAGAGGACTTCAAAACCATTACTGAGTATAGCTGTCCATTCTGGCCTGTCATTAATGGACTTCATCCTCAGTCACTGTAACACTAAATTTCCTTTAAAAAAAATAATTTTTAACTCTTAAGAGGTTGATGTTGTAGAATTCTTTTGGTATAATTAACGGTAGTCCTACAGAAAACCTCTTACCAAATGAAGTACTGCGAAACAATGGAGCAAGTGGATGGGAACAGGAGGAAGCTAGAAGAGGGGTACTTCATACACGTTTTTTTTTTTAAAGTTAATAGGTTATAAAAGCAGTAATAACTTTGACATGATGTCTTTCTGGAGGAACAGGTGACTAAAACCTTGTGATGAACTTTCTCTGCTAGTCATGAATCCCCAAGGAAAAGCCCTGTGATTCCACAGTCACTGCTCAGCTGGACAAAGCTGTCCTCTGAAAATGCAATACATTCTAGGAAACTAGCCAGATAAGAGAATTTTACTTTAGTGCCACGGTTTAACCCAGCCAGCCACTAAATGCCACACAGGTGCTCACTCACTCTCTCTCATCCCCAGGGAACGGGGAATAGAATCAAAGAGGAAAAAGTAAGGAGACTTGTGGGTTCAGATAAGAACAATTTAATAATTGGGAAAAAAAAAGTAATAATGATGATGATAATAATAATATACACAAACAAGTGATGCACAGTGCAATTGCTCACCATCCACTGACCAACGCCTGTTACAGCTAGTGCTGTACTCTAGAGGTTGGGTGCAGAGGCAGAAAGAGGAACTGTTTGTGACTATATGACCTTTAAAGGTCCCTTCAACATAAATTAGTATATAATATAACATAATGCATTCATAAGAGGAAAAATGAAGTTTACATTGCCACAGTATCTTTTACATTTCCAGCTTTCAAAAATCAGAAATTGCACCAGCAAAGAAGATGCACTGAAATGGATTCTGGTAGCTGACTTGAAACTGGAGCTATTAAAACAATTTTCACTCAGTGAGGGCATAAATCAGTTTCCCCCCACAGTTCAGATGGGGATGGGGAAAAAAAAACCAAACAAACAAAACACGCAGCAGTACTTTTAGGAGCAGTAGCAAGTACCTGGGACATTAAGTAAAATGGCAAATACTCCGACAGTGGGTGTTCACCAGGCCAGTCAGACTGAATGCTGGCCAATAAGGTGCCCAGTTAACTTACTTGCCTCATTCAGTATGTAAAAAAGCCCTCACCTACACAGAGTTCATCCAAGGAGTCTGGCAGCTCCCTTCAACAGCAGATCTGCACAGGTAAGGACTTGCACTTACGTTACGGGCTGAAGAGTTCAAATAGAAACTATGACATAGGATATAAAGTAAGGCAAAAAGAGAATGAGGGTAAATCAGACCCAACAAAGTGAAACTGGCAGAAACTTGAGTCCAAGAAGGTGGTAACGATCCTCTGATAACATCTCAAAGTAAACCCATCATTTTAAGAGTACAGTTTTTAAGTGTACACTGTTTAAACAACATCCAGCTTTGTAATTCCTACTGTATGTTAAACTCGGTCAACAAAACTTGTTCTCACACGACTTTTCAGTTGATTATGTTACTCTGCTATGCTGGTTTCTTTCTGATTAATAAAACAAACAAACGTGAACTGAGGGAATAAACAGCAAGAAACCATGTCCCCAAAAAGCTTGGAAAGGGGTTTTTAAATGCTATGCTTAGCATTTTCATTTTTGAGTGTTTCTTGGCTTGAGTACAGTACTTGATACATGAAATTAGTTACATGCCAGGATAGATGGCCTCATAGGAAGTACAGTGGCTTCTGCTGAAATCACTGGAAATAAAACAAAGTATTTGCCCAGAAATAAGAAATGTGGCCTGGCAAAAACTGTATTTTACATTTTTGACGTACAAGTCACTGTACACTAGTCACTAAAGGCCTATTGCTATACCTATGAAAAAAAAAAAGCAGGAGAATGGCTAGCCCTTCCCCCTAAGTCCCACAAAAGGTAAACTAATACTCTTAATGCTATTCCTGTAATAAGTACTTTGGGTAAAGACACTACGTTCACACAAAACAAGAGATCAGACTCAGTTGCTTAGGGTTGTATCCAAAAGGAATGTGAAAACCTCCAAGGATGGAGACAGCACAACCTCTCTCTGGGCAGCACATTGCAATGCTTACTTGTCCTATTCATCAGTAAGCTGCGAATGACAATTAGGGTGAAACAGAAGCCTCCCCATTACAAGAGATTCTCACTCCCTATCAGGTACGCTATGTGAATGAGATCAAGCAGGCCAGGCCAGTAAGAAGATATCAAAAATTATAACTATTTACATACTTTTCAGCCAACCAGAATTATGTGCCAAACAGCCACTGTTTTCAAATCTCAAAAGAAAAATCATAGAAAATTAGAATGGTTTGAGTTAGAAGGGACCTCAAAGATTATTTAGTTCAAACATCCCTGCCATGGGCATGGACACCTGCCACTAGAACATGTTGCTCAAAGCCTCATCCAACCTGGCCTTGAACAACTCCAGGGATGGGGCACCTCTTATCTGGGCAACCTGTTCCAGAGCCTCAGCACCCTCAGGGTGAAAAACTTCTTCCTTATATCTAATCGAAATCTCCCCTCTTTCATTTTAAAGCCATTTCCCCTTGTCAACATTGCCGGCTCATGTTGAGCTTCTCATCCACCAGCACTCCCAAGCCTTTTCCTCAGGGCTGCTCTCAATCCATTTTCCCCCCAGCCTGTACTTGTGCTTGGGATTGCCCTGACCCACATGCAGGACCTTGCACTTGGCCTTGCTGAACTTCATGAGGGTCGCACAGATCCACCTCTCAAGTCTCTCAAGGTCCCTCTGGATGGTATCCCTTCCCACACAGCTTGGTGTTGTCAGTGAACTTGCTGAAGGTGCTCTCAATCCCACTGTCCATGTTGCCAACAAAGATGTTAAACAGCACTGGTCCCAATACCAACCCCTGAGGAAAGCCACTCATCACTGGTCTCCACTTGGACATCAAGCTGTTGACTGCTACTCTTGGTGGATAAGGGTGGTCGCGCTCCAAGTCCATTCATCAAATTCATGTCTCTCCAACTTAGAAACAAGGATGTTGTGCAGGACAGTGTAAAATGTTTTACACAAGTCCAGGTGGATGATGCCAGTTGCTCTTCCCTTATCCACCAACACAGCAACACTGTCGTAATATGCCAAACTTGTCAGGCATGATTTGATCTTATTGGAGCCACGTTGGCTATCACCAATCATCCCCTTATTTTCCACATGTCTTAGCACAGTTTTCTTGCTGGACACAGAGGGGAGACTGTCTGGCCTGTAGTTCCCTGGGTCTTCCTTTTTGCCTTTTTAAAAATGGGGGCTATGTTTCCCTTTTTCCAGTCAGTGAGAATTTCACCGGACTGCCACAACTTCTCAAATATGGTGGATAGTGGCTTAGCAACTTCAGTTGCATGAAAGAATGTCTTTAAAACAAACAGCAAAGCTGAGCTAAAATTCCAACCCATGCACTGAAGGCCTGACCTGCTGTAGTAGAAATTCATAGTACAAATTTCCAGGAACAATTAACTGATTTTTATAAGACAGCAATTAAATTTGTCAGAAGGAAAAAAAAAAAGCTGCAACAATCCAATGCAGTCTTAAAAAAAAGCCAACTAGGAAAAAGTCCATGACCCACAAGTAAAACACAGGGACAAGCCAATTTAATCTCACCTCCGCCTCACAAAGCGCCTGAAGACCCTGTAACACTATGGCTGCGGGTGAAGCTTGGTCAGGCTTTGTGCATTCATGTAACATCTGGGAAATTGCAGCCAACATGTCTGCTCCATGCTGGTATGGCCTAAGGGAAAAAACAGGAAGATACAAGGCAATGTTCATGCAGACACAAAAGTTCTATTTTATGCACAGAAATTCATTAGGCATTGGTTTTGTTTAAGCGACAACTAAACCATACTAAAACTGGGGGAAAAAAAAATACAAGGGAGAATATGACAGAGAGCTCTAAAAGGCTGAGTGCCACAGAAAATTAAATCAGCAGGCATAAAGTTCCACATAAAAGATCATCAAGTCGTTAAGCTATGGAAGTTTTTGTCCAGGGACATTGCATATGATGGAAGACTACATCATTCAAGTGACTGAGAAGGAAAAATCCATGTGTGCTATTAAAGACAATATTCTTGGCTTCTTTGTTACAGTCTTCTGTAAGTACTCGCTGCTGTGTATTGGTGAAGATTCTGGCAGCAAAAGACTTTTGGCCCTCTCAGATCAGATAGGAACACTTATCCCGATTTTTTACTGCTGCAACATCATTTGTCTATCCTTCAATGACTGCATAGGCTACTTGTTGGCTTTCCAGTCTTTTAGTATCTATTCAGTTTTATTGGGCAGTGGTGGGGGAGGTGTCAACTGCTTATTCAGCAGTTTCTCATACTGTTTCTGTAAGAACATGAAGTAAATAGCACCTGGCTAGGCGATTTATATACACGGAACATTCACACTTCCTCTGTTTGCTCTCACCTTCTTCCAAATAAGTTCTAAATCCACAAAGAATGTGCATACACTTGAACTCTAACTACACCACTTAGCAGGCAAAAATAATATTTTTTGCTGCATTGAAATTTATCTCCTGCTTTTCACTTTTTTATTTCTTCAGAAATGCTGTTTGGCTAAATTAAAGAAGATTGAAGAAGTAAAGGAAAGCTTATTTACTTGGGTTTTTTTTCTTCGTTGATGATTGAAAGATACATGAATTTTTCCAGCTGTTAGTAACTGACCTTCATGAAGGAAAGCGAAATGTGGAACCCAAAAGATAGGTGGTAAGGGGAAGAGATGGTATTGTGTACATAAAACCAGGAAGTAACTGATAATGCATTTAAAAATAACCTTTATAGGAACTATAAATTATCATGAAGTACTGATATTCATGGATTGTTAGAGCTGGAAAGGATCAGTATATCATCCAGGTAGACTTGTACATCTGGGTTCTGTGGTCACTACTGTATCTGAATAAGGAGCGGTGATGTGCATGTGACAATGTGTACTTTTCAGAAAAGCATCCAATCTTTCTTTGAATAGGTCAAACGATAGGCGCATCATTAGATGTTTCTTCTATTGTTTCATCCCTCTCTAATAATTTAGAACTGGTAGGCTTTAAGCTTCTACCCTCTATCAGCACAGGATACACGTTTTGTTTCAGTATGAAGACCTTTTAATTTTACCATTACTTACATATGATTTCTATTAGTTACAATACAAACCCCAAAACTTACTAGCTGCTGAGATCAGCAATGCCTGAGTCAGTATCTCATACAACTAGAAGAATATCACTCACAATTAATATAACAGAGTAGGTAAAAATAATTACGCAGCTTTTCAGAAAAAATAAAAAAGTCTTCTTACAAAGACACAAGACGGATAACACGTGTGCTCACCTCTGCCTACATATATCTCTTATGCAAGCAGCTTTAGCAATCAGCTTTTCCCACTGAGTATCTTTGTCAGCGGACAAAGAGGGCATATCCGACGCCGCCAAGAACTTCTGCAATTCTGGGTAAATCCGATCCTAGAAGAGATTCAATTTAGAAATTACCAACATATCTTCACAAGTTGGTGACAGGATTTTCAATTGGTAGCACTCTTACATGAATTCCAAACATCACTTTTATTGCATATCATATGTCACTTTTCTTCCTTATTGGAATCCAATGCTGCATTGAGATCTAACTGGCTTTTCCAGATCAAATCTCATGCTACTTCATAAACAGAGAAGCAAATTATTGCTATGTAACTAAGGTCTTGTTCTTACTGCACATTATGAAAAGCAGAAAGCTGTCGTTCAAACAATTTTTTTTTTTCTAATTCCAGTATGAGACCTGATGAAATGAAAAGCAGGTTTCATGAAAGACATGCTACTGAAATTTTTCACTGAAACAGAATCAATATAGACACCACTTCCACTATTTACTTTATACTGCTGACAATGAGACACTGGTATAAGCAATGTTCCAGAATTAACTCTCTTCCCTGGTTAGAGGTAAGGAAGGTTTTCAATTACACTTATCGTAGTGACACTACAAGAATTTTCTAACCTGTCTTTCCCATAAGGATGTCATCAGTCGCAAACTAATTGCTCTAAGCTTTGGTGTGCTCCCCAGCATGTGTATGGCGCGTAGAATCTGAGCTACACAAACCTGAAACAAATTTTTTAACAAAATGTCAGTTATTTTTTACATCCAAGAACAAAGACTAACGTATAAATCATTATTTTATCACCAAATACAAAAAGGAGATGAACATCCAACTGCAATGTCAGACACAAACTGGAAGACATTTTCTGAAAAACTTGAAAAAAGCGCATAGTGAGTCCAAGAGCATTGGGGGCAGAAGGAAGCGGGGGGCAGAAGGAAGCGGGGGGAGCTTCAGCTGGACAATACATATATATAATGATATACATATAATGATCATGCAGCCAAAGCATAACATACATTTCACTCTTTAAAACAATTGTCATATCCCAACCAAAATACTAGAAAGTTATGCTAAAGCTTGCAAATCAGTTATTTTAAGCAAGCTATGTGTTACTCAGTCTAAATAATTTTCTATAAACAAGTGACTTCTTATTGATACAGTTTTTGTTGTACTAAAAATTTTTCAATCTGACCTTGTGTACACCCAGTGCAGGCAATGTATATAATACATCTCTGTAAAGTGCAGGCTCCAATGGTCTTCCCAATTTAAATACCAGAACCGGGATCAGATTTGGGACCTAAAATAAAACAAAAGCAGGAAGTAAACCTGGAACTAGGTTGCCAACACAGTATTTTACATATGACAGTGAACTTGTCAGAATATGTTAGAAATTCCTACCTTTTTGCATTATTTTTTATTCTAATAGGAAAGAGAAAGGAAAATTGCAAAGTCTAATTTCATATGACTTAGAATTTATTTCAAGTTATCGTCTTAAAAGCACCTTGTTCTGCATGTTTAGCTGTAACCACTGCAATAATTAATTTCCACAATAAATTAATTTTCATTTGAAATTCCATTATAGGCACACTGAAAGGAACATATAATTGAAAATGGTACATTAAACTACATATCAAATCAATGAAGAAACCATTCCAATTTAGTTCTATCATTACAGAGGAACTCTGATCATGCTATTATCATATCCTACAAACCTGTCATATAATACAATGTAATTTTCTGCCTTCTTTAATATACGGTACAAAACTTCCAGGGGGATACCCTGAAAGTGAAAACTATAAATTACTAGTTCCAAATTACAGACAAAAAAAAATACTGTTTGTTTTACAAGACATGACTATCTTTACAGTTGAGTCATCCAAACTCGTGATTCCACAAACTCAAGAACTTTGTTTTGGAATCTGTATTTAATAACTAAGGAATTAGCTACAATACATTATTTTTTCCAGTTTTCCAAATAGTACTTGACATTCTTAAATAGAATAAATCCCTTTATAAACCAAAATTCCCCCACATTTTTGACTAATTGACTAGTCTCCCTCTCTCTATTTCCCAAGGTTGTTTTCTACCAGCTGTAGAGGCAGTAATCACCCCATCACCTGCCTAAACAGAAGACTGGCTTTACTGTAAATCTTTCAAAGGAAAGTCAATAAAAGTGGCTAAGAATTTAAGGTAGTATTCATCCGAGTAGACTTTCACAGACAGGAGCACTTTCAGTACAAATTTAACAGTGCTTTGCTTTCCCACCTTTTTATTCCAAACTGAAAGCATCTTCCTAGCTAGCACCCTCACCCCCCTTTCTTTCAGACCTCTGGAATGAAGATAAGTTGGGCAGTTTTCCAGCTTTTGTTGTGTACTGATTTTGGCTGGGATAGAGTTAAGTAGCTTGTATGGGGTTTTGTTTTGGATTTGTGACCAAAACAGTGTTGGTGACACAGGGATGTTTTAGCTATTGCTGAGAAACTCTCAGGAAGCATCAAGGTCTTCTCTGTTTCTCACACTGCCCAGTCAGCAAATAGGCTGGGGGTGCACAAGGATCTAGGAGGCGACATAGCTGGGACAGCTGATCCCAACTGACCAAAGGGATATTCCACACCATATGATGTCATGCTCAGCAATAAAACTCAAGGAACAAGGAAGGGACGTTCAGAATGATGGTGTTTGTCTTCAAGTTACCACTACGCATGCTGGAGCCCTGCTTTCCTGGAGATGGCTGAACACCTGCCTGCCCATGGGAAATGGTGACTGAATTCCTTCACTTGCTTTGCTTGCGTACACAGCTTTTTACTTTACCTATCAAACTGTCTTTTTCTCAACCCACGACTTTTCTCACTTTCACCCGTCTGATTCTCTCCCCCATCCCACTGGACAGGAACAAGACAGCGGCTGTTTGGGGCTCAGCTGCCCACTGTAGTTAAACTACAACACGTACAAATTAAATTTTTTAAGTTATCTTTCACATAAAAACTGAATGACAGATGAGCAAAATAGAAATAAGATATCAGAAATACAGATGAGGCAGGATCTGTCAAGCTAAAACTTCGTATGAAGCACAACACTTGAGCGAACATTACACACACAACGACTACTTTTTGAAGTAAGAGTTGTAGGAGCAAGACTTCCTCCATTAGATGTATTAAAATATTTTATACACAGAAAATGTAAATGGCAAATGAGTTACTTAAACATCTTGCCTTACACACATCACAAGGCTGTTAGATTTACACAAACAAGACTGGAAATCTGTATAAATGCTTTTATAGGAATTCAGGCTGCAACTGTGGGTTTCAAAGCCAATGTGTAATAAAACACATCAATCAGTTTTCAATATTTCAGAGAAAATTCAGTGGAGGTTATTTCTTTATCTAACCGTGCATATCAATATCATAGCACACATCAGCGTACAAGGGGATGGTAAAATGGCTCATCTGAATAAGCTAAGCTCTAATGACAAATTTAGTTTTTCAACTCAAGCATTCCTTTGGCTTTGTTTTTTTTTTTTTCCAGTGTTTTTTGGTTTTTGCTTCTTCACTCCCAAAAGCTGAATCTATAATAAACACTACTATTACCTTAAAGCTAAGGGTTAAACATATCGACCACAAGAAAGAGTCACCCACCAAGATTTGGTTTTAATCATATTTTCCAGCACCTCGCCCCAGCGTGAACATTCTTAACCACCGTTCATAACATTCAAAATAAATGATAATAAAAATAAATTATATTAATAATCCTCATCTATAAAAGCATACAAATCCTTTGAAGTCAGCCTACTCAGGCCTAGACTTCATTAGCTGTGATGAGAAGTTCATTCCAAGTCCTATATCTGCATTAATTTTCTAGTTACCGAGTTTTTTTTCTACACTAAACAAGTATTAAATTAGACTTCTGCAACGACTGTTACAATAATATCTAGTAAACAGATGCTAAGTTCAATTTACAAACTTCTCAGGAAAAGACTAAGCACTTGCTACTATAAGGCCAGTTACATATTTTCTTAAAGCTGTTGTCTTTAAGTATGTACACTTGTTTTAAACCATGTATTCAAATTATAAGACCCAGAAAAAACCAAAATGTTCTAGTACAGCAAATCTGCTCCTCTCTCCATCTCCCTCATGTAATGGATAAACAATGCTGGGACTAATTTCAGTATTAAATTTGTGTTAAAGCTTCATCAAGGGTTTAATAGCTCCAAAAAGCTCATACAACAATTCATTAGCTCCCAGTGGGTAGGAAGCAGCTCCAGAGAAGGACAGGCATGCTGCCTGGCAACACTGCCTTCTGCATCCCCATGCTCCCGGAGGGTACAGCGGCTAGGTCAAGTCTGTCATTAGCAACATAAAGAAGGGTTTCAAGACTATGTTTTGTTTTAAAATTAATTTGCATCTCAAAAATGATGCCAAGGTATGTCAATAACTCTCCTTTTTAAAGTAAGATTAAATATGTGAGACAAAACACTTATTAAATAACAGGTCTGAGAATCGTTATCGTTCTCTGGAATTCGGTGGTCTGATTTCTTTTTTCTAAGCTACAGGACAGCTATTCTTCAAAAGCACAAGCTACAGGGAAGATAGTAGGGGAAAAAGATAATCTTACTCTCTTGTTCCTTCACATTTCCTTGCATTTTACTGAAGAGGAAATTGTCCTTATGCAGCCCTTGTGTCAGAAGAAAGAATAAGAGAGCGCCAGAAAAGACTACGTCAAATGAAGTCCAGTTCAAACGAAAAAATCCATTTCAAAAAAATATAATCCAAACACGTATTAACATACGCTCTCTGCATTTTAAATTCTAAATGCAGGACATCACATCATTCCCACCACCATTTCTTTGCTTGCATGCCTATCCTGAAGGGTTCTTTAGGGTCAATTTTAACACTAAGTTCATTTGAGGTGCCCCACGAAAAGCCAACCAAAAGTTACAAAATAAATGTCACTGCAAAGTTCTAGTTTTTATTACTGGGAAACACTGGGCTGAATTTTGGAAAAGAGGTAGCATTAGTACAGTTCTCCAGTAGGCAAGGCAGTGAAACGAGCAGGTTTTGGAAAGCTTTCAGTACGCTGGCATTTCTTGCTCCAGTAAGCAAAAGTATGGAACAATTCACACAGATGAAAGAATCAGTTTTTCAGATAAGTTCACAAATGAAGGTAAGCTTCCGTTTATAAAAGCCATAAAATAAACTGCTTTCAAAAATCAGAAGCACTTTTTAAAGAACATAAGTTAGGTTTTCAAGTTCTTGTACTTCAGCA